GGTACATGTCAAATCTGTCACAGCTGATTTTGGTGGAAGCGAGTTGTTTAAACATCAGAGGGGATGGGAATAGGGCCTTGGATTCAGCCTGTGCTGTTCTACAAACCAAAGACATTCAGCTTTCTTCAGCCAGTATTGTTACTTTTATTATTCATGTTTTGGATTAGTATCTTAAAATTCAGTAGAAAAGTAAGATGAGTTCCTATGTTACATTCTTAAACCGCGTGCAACCTTTTTTTTTATAAAAATCATGTAAAGAATAGATTTTACACAAATTGGTACAAATTGTGGTGTGAAATAGTTGTTTCTCTTCAGTTCATGAATGAGTGTGTGCATATCCCTAAGCATACTTGACCCAAAAGTTAGGATTCAACTGGTGTGCAGAGAGCTGGTCCACAGAGAGTCGGGATGTTTGTTTATTCCATGTCTGCACAGGGATGCGTGCTAGGTGGTAATTCCACAAAGCTGTCACACCAGCACACGGTGACTAACACACGGTGTACGTTCTAAGTGACAGTTACCAGTACTTTTACAGATAAGCTCAGTTATTCTCCTTACTGTTGGTCTTGGCAATGTCCTGTCTTCATTAAAAGTTACAGTATCCTCTTTTTTTACTGCCTGTGTTCAGAGAGGAAGGGGTTTTTCCCTACCCGCGGGCCAAACCATGCTATAGGATCGTTCCTTCCAAGTTGAAGTGGTTATCTCTTGTGTTAGTCATCCTCTTTTGTTCCCTTGTGCTTATCTTGGTATTTCCTTGTTTGACAGGTTTGTGGTGTCATCTTGTTCCTCTCCTCAGGGTTATCTTACAGAGTTTGAGTAATCCCTTCTGTTTTGTCTCCCTTATTTCTCGAACATACTCACAGATATCAAGTTGACCCGAATTGCCATAAACCCAGCTGAGTTTTTTTGAGGTTTTTATATTGGCTTAACAGACTGTCAATCTCAGCCTTGGTAAACCAGGCTTAAGGCATAGGCCATTCAATCACCTCTGTGTTTATGATTGTGATTGTTGTACAGGATTGTGTTTTTTGGTGCACCTTAATCAGTTTGAAAACAGATGAGGTGATCCAGCTGTTTGGAAACCATGTAGACAAACCAGTTGACAATGAGTTCACAATGAGAAGAACTTTACAGTTCAGAAAAATCATGGTTTTGTTAATTAATAGATAAGCACCAGCAGTCTGTTCCATTAGACTAAATTAATAGTATCCTTTCTTTCTTTCAGATCCTGTTGTTTATTCCTTTTTTTTATAAAGGGGACTTACGTGTAGGTGAAATGGACTATTTATTTATGGACTCTTTATTCAGGTTCCCGGGATGGCTCGATGGGTCTCTGGGAGGTCACAGAGGATGTGTTGTCCAAAAGTGATGCCAGGCATAATCTCTCTCAAGTTCCTGTCTATGCCCACATAACACACAGGGCTCTGAAGGATATCCCCAAGGAGAACACCAATCCTCACAACTGCAAAGTCCGAGCGTTGGCTTTCAACAATAAGAACAAGGTCAGTAAGATAAGCAAGACAGCTGAGAAGTCCTAAAACTGTCCATATGTATTGGAAAAAGAAAAAAGTAATCTAAATCAGAAATACCAGAGAAGCAACCTAATACTTTCTTCCTTGATCCTTTTGCATCCTTCTCATATGAGATGATCGTCTTTATCTGCTACGTCTGCCTCAGCCCGAAGTGCATGGAGAACTCCAGCAGAAAAAAGCCCATAAGTTTTCAGAAAGAACAGTTTACCTGTGGGTTTAATTTTAGATTTGCACCCTAAGGAGGAGGGGGAATTGTTTACAAGAAGCAGATGAAGCACCAAAACACCTCTTGCTGCTTTCCTTCCCTGTCCTTGAAGGCCAGCCAACACTCAGGCAGTTCCTGTTCTGATGGCTGAGTTGTTACTGGATTGCTCAGCAAGTGACACAGGGCAGGCACCAGTGCTTGCTTTGGTGGTGTTTTGTCAAACAGTAACGTTAACCTCCCACATGCTGATCTCTCGTTATCACTAGTAGGAGTAGCAATTCATCCTCCACTACTTTTCTTTCTGCACTGAAGAACAGAGAAGGTCTGAATGCTTATGGCACAGTGCTCCTGTGGGCTTTATTTTTCACTATAGCTGTTAATTACTGCTCTGTGATGGAGACTTCAAATAGCTTTTTCAGTAGATTAGTGCCTGGAAAGAAATGTTTGTACCCCTCCACACAAACCCAGCACATGGGTCAGAATCAGCGTGGGAGCTGCTGAAGAGAATTGCCAACTCTAGCTTGTACTGTCTAATAATTATTTGGTTGTCTAACAAGGTCTATACTTTTTGAAGTTATTTTTGGCTGTTTACTCTTACATTAGTTCTTGCTCGGCACCGTTGTGCTGTATTGCATTCTATCAAGATGGGTATAAAATGAAGATTTAGCTTGCTAAGCACATACAGGATTATGGATGAGTTCGATCTGGAGTATGCAGCCTGCCTGCTAGAGAGTGAGTTTGTAAGGACATCTGTAATACAGAAACTAACTCTCTTACTTCCTTTTTTAATAGGAGCTGGGAGCTGTGTCCCTAGATGGATATTTTCATCTTTGGAAAGCAGAACACACGCTGTCAAAGGTGCTTTTCTGTTTGCTGTAAAATTTCAAAAATTACGTAGCAGTTAAGGCTGTTCACTATTCTTCATCTCCTTTAAACGCTTGAAGAAAGAGCAGCAGTGTTTGTAAAACACTTAAGTTTTATGTAAAATGAAATGTCCTAAGAATTAGAACTTGAGGAGAGGAACTCCCAAATCCCCTTATTTTGGAGAGTGGGAGCTCTCCTCAACTTTCTGCCAGTTCTAAGCGAAAGTGACCTGTTGCTTAGAGTATGATGGGTACTTGATTAGCAGTGTCATAAAGGAAGTGGCACCTAATTTAAGTGTAATTGCAGATCAAAGCCAGACATACTTATGCTAGTGTATGAGGTAAACCTTTTCAGCTGAGAGCTGATGTCTGTGAACACCTGCTGAAGATGTAATAGCAGCTTAGAAAGATTTAAAAAATTTGCCAGAATGTTAATTGTGCTTTGCATAATGCTTGGCTTCAGTTTGGTTCAGATGAGGCATCCCATCTTCAGGTTTCTTTATCTGAGTCAGGTTAGTGCTTCTCTCTTAAAGCTCTATTTTTGTGGTCAACTTATTATAGCTGTATTTAGGGTTTTTTCCCCTGCAGCTTCCTTGAACATAGCTTACAGAGTTGTTCTATGGACATCTTGCTCTTTTCTCATAATGAGTTGATTTTTATTTCTCCTTTTCAGTTACTTTCCACAAAGTTGCCATACTGCAGAGAGAACGTATGTTTGGCTTATGGTCAGGAGTGGTCAGTGTATGCAGTAGGATCACAGGCACATGTCTCCTTCCTGGATCCCAGGCAGCCTTCTCACAATGTCAAATCCGTCTGTTCCAAAGAACGAGGCAGTGGTAAGAAACTTGTCAAAGGCTGCTTCAAATGTTTTCCTTGCTGAAGTAGTTATTAAGAATGTGGTAGATGAACTTTTAATAAATAGGAAGAGTTTTTCATGTGATAGTCTAAATCATTAATAGAACATATAGGTTTTGCTTTTATGACAGTATTCCTTGAGCAACCAACAAACCAAACTTAAAAGCAACTCTGAAATCTAATGAGACAACATTAGTGCTTTTATGATCAACTGAATTGTACACCACCCGAATATTACTGAACTACACACTGAAAGTGTGCATTTTACTTCTGCTGATTTTTTTTTTTTTTACTTTGTCTTATTCTGGTTTACTTCATCTCAAAGCAAATGCAGTCTTCATACTACTATTAATACTCTATTTGTGCATTTTTCTCTGGGAACGTTAAAGCGTGTTGTCTGCTCTGTGCTGTCATTTTGGAAGTCTATGCTGTGAGTGAATGCTTGCTTTGTAATTTTAAAGCCATGAGTGAGACTCTTAATTTTCAATGTGCATTTATTTGCTTTAAATACACAAAAGCTCACTCTTAAAAAAAAAAAAAAAAAAAAAAAATTGAGATTTGAGTGCTGTTTTCCTTTCCTGATGTGGATGCAGTATGTCCCAGTGAACCTTACCCCAGGGCCAAGTGTGAGGGCTTGCAGGGCGCAAGGTCCTGTAAGCTTCTTCCTACACCCTTATTTTCAAGCGTGAGAAAGCACTGTGCTGTGATGCCCGTTTTAGACCATATTAATTGCTGACTAGTGAGTTCCAGTACTTATTTAGCTTGGCTCTAGGTGTCATCTTTTCATTGGGCAAGTTATCAAAAGAGAGTGGGAAGGATTAGGAAAGTTTTACTTACGTGGTTACTGGAGTTTGAACAGTGCTGCCTAGATAAATGCCAGGGTCTGCTTCTTTCAGATATGGGGGAAGCTTCTATAATACAAGAACAGGTGCTTCACGACCAGCTCATGTTGTCACCTGAACACCTTGCCAGCAGCAGCCCTTGTCCTGACCCGCTGTCAGTGGCGGCTCTCTGGAGGTCCTTGGCACTGTCACCCTTCAGTATCATAGGAAAGACATACCAAGACCCTGGAGAGCAGTGGCTGGTGGTGAAAGCTCCTGCCTTGAGTGTGTGATTGTCCCAGCTGGGGGATGACTTTATGTGTAGGTAGTACCTCTGGAGCACCTCCAGTTCACCTCTGGAGAAAGCCTTTGTTCAGTGCTGTTTTCTGTTCTGCGTAGTAGGCAGATTTTTTTCTTTTGCATGGTGGTGGAAGCACTTCAGTAATATTAATTCCCAAGATAGTGTTTCAACTTTCTATTGATCTCACTAGGACTTGGAGCAGTACAGCATCTCTAGAAGGTAGGCTGTTTACTGACTTGTGGACTAAAATCTGGGTTGACTTCTCGGTGCTTTGAAGTGTTACCTGAATGAGCTTTCAGCTTCCAAATACACCTACTGAATGTGTAAAGTCCACGTTAACTTCATATCATTAGTGTTGTACGCAGAGGCAGGTCAGAGAAAGGTTGTCGCTTAGGAAGACTGGAACTGGGGCTGTTTTTTTACCCAGTGTAATTCTGTCTGCTATACATTAGAAAGTAGCTAATGCTTTTTAGTGCATCTTGTGAGTGTTGCTTTTCTTAAAAGCTGTACAGGGAAGTACAGTCTCTGGAGTCTCCTTATCTGCAAGAGCATATGCTTTCTGCTTGGCTGGCATGCAGTGCTTTGTCCTGAGCCCTTGACTTTATATCCCAAAGGCAGCAATGTTAAGGTAGCGGACTGACCTTGCACAGCATGGACTCCATGTCTACTCCATGTGTAGGACATGCTACTGGCTCTTTGTTTCCTTCTGGGATTTGTGAAGCTTCCTTACCTCTCAGGAGAGGGACTCAATTTGCTGACTCAAATAGCACCGGTCCACAGGTGGTAGAGTGCTGGCTATGTTGGAGAGCTTACCACAACCACTTCTAGGCACAGGTTGTGCTTTTAGTTTGATGGGAATGATTAATCTGAGGTTCTTCAGCCCCTTGGGTGCCAATTTTGAAGTGCTGTTCTTGAAAGCCTGTTCTAAGCATCCCTTTAGTACTTGGGTGCATCATGGATTCCTTCAGTTAATTTTTTTTGATTAGAGAAAGATCCATAGTCATTCTGCATTTTATAGCTTTTTGTTAATAAATTGCATTGAAAGGTGTATATACCAGCTGCTTTCATACTCCATCACCTGTTTCTGTTAAATAAGTGTTCTGCTGAGTTGCTTGTCAAGACCTCTTTTGGAGAAAAAATGAGAATGTCTCCTTGTGCCTCTCTCCTCTTACCAAGTGACTGCTCTTGCTGGTTGCAGAGGGCTTTAAGCTTTCTGCATGTGTTTGCCAGAGCCAGGCCCTTGTAACAGCAGGGGGGGATGTCTCCAACTGGCTCAGATGCACTTGTAGTTCTCTGAATTAAAATGGAGATTCTTATATGAATCTCGTCAATCTAATTCAGCAGGTGTGAGACCTGCACAGTGGTTTCCCACCTATAAACCAAGACTTGACACCTGGAGCAAGACAAATTTGCCTTGCCTGTTGGAAGTGTGTCGCAGGTGCTGGTGACTGTGGACGTAACATCATGTTGCGGAGGTGGAAGGATGAGGATGTGTTTCTAGTTAGGACTCTGTGCAGAGGGAAAGGGGAAACTCCCTGACTGCATCCACACCTCAAGCGTCTGCTGTTACCTGTCTTGCTGGGTGTATTCCAGTGTTACAAGTCTTGTGACGTTCAGGCCGGTGTGGTGCAGTGACAGCAGCTGGCACATGGATGTAGCTGGCATAACTCACTACTTTTCCCTTCCTGTTTGAATGCTTGTTTACACTGTAGTTCAGTGGTACTTTAAAGAGGGCTTGAAAAGCCCTGGAGTTTATAACCTGGCTTCATGTTGTACGGGAAGAAAAAGCATAGATGTGGTGGGGTTTAATCTGCGTAGAAGATGTTTGGGGTTAAGTGCTTAACACAAAACAAACCTTTTGCACAATAGAGATGAGATGACAGGACACTGTGAAAATTGCAAATTCCTCCATAGAGAATCTGGCCAAGGCTGTTTCTCATTTAGCTGAGGCTTCAGATGTATGTTTTGTGAAAACAAAACGTACTCCTTATACTCGATCTAATGGCATAACTGAATTGTGCTAGAATGTTTTGTTTGGACAGAAAACTTGCTGTAGCTTCCCATGTGCTAGCATAAGATGGCGTTGCGTAGGTTGTAGGATTCCTTGTCTGTTTTCACTGCTGGCTGAAGTGCTGAAAGTGCCAGCTGCAGAGAATAAGGTGTGCTTGCATGAGAATATTCGAGTGGAGATTTCAGAATTATTTAAGTGCCTGATCTATCTTAGCAGTGAAGTGACTAGTGATTGTTACAGTTATGCTTGCTTACAGACAGCCTCTTGATCCACAAAATGCCCTTGGTGGCAGCTGGGACAGTAATTTTTCTCATGTGGTCACTTACCATAGGTTGGCAGGTAGCTAGGTAGGGTGTGAGCCCCTGGAGGAAACCAATGTGATGTTCTTTCCTCTGCTGCCGTGCACTCAGATGGTGTGTTCACTCAGAGGCTTGGGACAGACAGAACAAAGCTGTTCTTCATCCTAAATGGCTTATGATCTTTGCTTATCTGGAAGAGCTGGGGTCTGCTGAAAATGAAGCCTCTTACTATGCACTGTTGGTATAGCTGACGTCCTCAGAGGGGGAGGGAAGTAGTACAGCTGTTGCAGCTGTTTCAGTAGCGTCAATGGGATTTATCTGCACTACTCCATAGCAGTGGGGAAGTTTGTGTTGTGAACTCTAGTAGGTTGTTCCTCTTAAAGTATTAGGCATCAAGCAGCAGTACTGCAGAGCCAGAGCATCCATCTTCCTTACTGTGTTGCGTGTCCCTTCTCTGTTTGACAGGTATTCGATCGGTGAGCTTCTATGAACACATCATCACAGTGGGCACGGGGCAAGGCTCCTTGCTGTTTTACGATATCAGAGCCCAGAGGTTCCTGGATGAAAAGATCCCACGTGCCTGCTATGGACAGAAGCAGAGATTAGGAGGAAGTGAAATTTTGAAGTTGGCAACTGGGAAAGGCTGGCTGGTGAGTGGCTTGTAGCTGTAGGCTACCCTTCACACGGGAGTGCCGAAGGGCTCGAGAGCCGCTGCTTTTTGTAGCAATGGGAGCTGCTGTATGAAATGCATCCCAGCAACGTAGTAATCATGTAACCCATAACCGTGATCACGAAAAGCAGCAAGTACTGCAGAACTGCTTTCTACAAAAGCGTTATGAAGGAGCATTGAATGGTTGCTTGCTTGAGTCTAAGGCATACTGACGGCTTCTTTCATGCGCTAATTCATAAATTAACTAGATTCTAGGTCTTTATATTTTCTAATGTAATCTAACTTACAGTTTTTACAACCTCTAACAAAAAATACAGTGTCTTCCTTCAAAAACGTCCTACTCTAATGTGGTACTCAAAGTAAGAGAGATTTAATTTAATTGTGTGCAATTTTAGAAACTTTGGCTTCCTGAGATAATGCCATGGCAGGCACTTGAGTTCAATTTCCTGTATGTTATCAAAAAGCAGTTAATGGCTTTGTGTTACTTCTCTCCATTATCTTTTGTATCATTGTGATGTAACTTTAAAAACCAAGGAAACCTGGTATCTTCCCTACCCTTCACCTTTCCCCCTCCAGTGTTTGGCCCCAATGTCCTCAGAAAAAGCTTCAGGACAAGTCTGGTATCTTCAAGTTGATCTGCCTGAAGCTTCAGGGAGTATTAACAGAAAAGATCCTTTTTTAGGCTCTGGAAGCTTCCTTCTGCTTTTGTGAATTGAAGTTTTGGATGTTTGGCAACAATAACAATCTGAACTTTCCTTTAACAGAATCATGATGAAACCTGGAGGAATTATTTTTCTGAAATAAATTTCTTCCCAAATGCTGTTTACACCCACTGCTACGACTCGTCTGGAACGAAACTCTTTGTGGCAGGAGGCCCCCTTCCATCAGGACTTCATGGGAATTACGCTGGTCTTTGGAGCTAGTGACGTCTCTTTATAAATGCTGATCTTGACACAGATTTCCACTCCTTTTCCTTTTTTTAACAACAGAATTGTGTGATGTCATTGATTTCTGATTTAAATGCAAGTTGTTTTTTGGCAGAGTTTTCTGTTGGTCTCCAACAGTTTTGTATATCTTTTTGAAACAGTTTTTTGCTTTAACCACCTTGATCCTTTATACGAAGGGTTTTTGAAATCCCTTTTATTGTATTTACTCCAAATGACTCTTCCCCCGCATTTAGGCTATCTCGGCCATGTGCCCCCTCCCCTACTTTGCTGTGAGGTAGGATTCCTTTCTTACGGAGTGGTTGCTCCTGGGCTTTCTGTGAAAGTCTAGGGGCTGCGTGTGTGCAGGTACTTTGTGTCAGTTACATTACCTGGAGTGAGGACTACTTGTAATTAAAAAATATTAAAAATATTTATAAGAGGAAAAGCTACTACTTTATCTGCAGAGCCTGGCCCTGGCCTGGGTTGATCTTATTTTTTAAAAGTACAAGTCTAATGACACTGTTTATACGTAGAGGAATCCGGTAATTTTGAGCTGTACTCATTGGAGCCCAGGGACAGATTCCCCAGGGTTATTGCCCACCAAGCCTGAACTGCAGAAGCACAGGAGTTTTCAAAAGTGCATTTGTATTTGCATTGTAGTTTTCAGCAGTGCCAGGAGCAAAAATTGATCTGTTTCTTTTCTGCCTGTCCTAGATATCAGCTTGCACAACTGGAGTTTGCGCAGGCTGTTCTGCAGCGTGGCTACTGCAGGGTGACACAGGGTAACCTTACACTGAGGGCCTGCAGAGGTGCTGAGGGGAGTTGGGGGCTAGGGCATGAGTGTTCTTGTCATTCAAAGTGAACTGAATCTATCCATTTTCCAGATGAGCCAAGTTTCCTGAGTATGCTGCTGCAGTAGCTCATGGGTTCTTCATAAACTGCCTGAAACCCAGGACCGTTTTTTGTCCCAGGTTGTGGAAACTTCCCTTTTTAGTTGTTCTGGTTTGCTATCTCCTCTAATAAGCCAATGGAATAAATAAACTGTTTTTTTTCTCCAAGGTTGAAGAGTTCTTCTTGAACTTGTCTTATGCAAGCCAGAAGCTTTCCGTGTAGCAAGATAACTTGCTGTTAGCTCACGTTGTGCTAGCCTCTGCTGTCATCCTGCTTGCTATAGGAGAGGTTTAGTCTTTCCCCCGATCACCTGCTGCCTCTGCATTCAGACTCCCTTGAACTTCATGTGGGACTGGATGGGGTCAGTAGGTCTGTTGCACTTCAGGTCCAGCCATAAAGCGTGTGCATTCCAGGGTGATGATCTTACATGACACTCAGCTGAAATGCAGGACTCCACGGTGTTCCTCCTAGCCTTTTGGCAGGCACCAAACTCCGCTTGTTACTGTTTCCTCTGCCCTGTGCTGGGATGAATGCCTTTCCCCTGCCCCTGTCACCAGTGGAGCAGAGTGTACCTGTACCTCACTGCTTTGGGGCCAAATGGGCAGTTGGCTGAAGTTGAGAAGAAAGACAAGGCTGGGACATGCTCTGTTCTGTCTCTGCTGGAGATCACAGCCATCACTGCAGAGTAGCTCTAGTCCCTTACACAGTTCCTGCCAGACTACCTAAAGCTAGTATGCGTGTGTCCTTGCTATCCTTCTCGGCTTTGTGCTCAGTATCTTCATCAGTAAAGCCAAGCAATGAGGCTCAGGCTTAATTTCCAGTTGGTAGTGGAGACTTGGATGGAAATCATGCAAGGAGTTCAGTTCCCCCCCATCTGGATGGAAATCCTGGCAACAGAAGAGCTCTCCCAGATGTGCACCTGTCCCAAAAGTGTGATTTACTGAGACTGAGCACTTGACAAACAGATGTTGTGGCATTTCATCATTCTACTTCCCTTATGGGTTGGTTGCTCAAACTGAATCAGTTCAAGGTACTGTTTGTGGGGCTATTCAGGCTTTTCTCTGAAAAGGAGCAAACTGTATACCATGGAGTAGTGAAGGAGCTCTCAGATTTTATTTAGAGTTATTCATTGTTTTTTAAAGATGTAATGGTGCCTGTGGTGTTCTGTGATGGTAACATAACTGCTTTGGTTATTTTAGGGGGTTTGAGAAGTGAAGTACACAGAAGAACAAGTCTTGGTGAAGTATGGCAGGATGTATATTTCTAGGATTACTCCTGCAGCTACTATGTAAGGTCACTGTGTCACTGGGAACATGTTCTGTTTAGTTTTTTTTCATTTGGGCTTGGTTTGAGCTGCTGCTTTTTCTTTTTTTTTAAACAAACTGCAGACTTGAGTCTACTTAAGTGTCCTCCAGTTCTTCTGAAACAACAGTTACTGGTTAGGTACTTGGTGTCACCAGTGCCAAAGGAAAACTCCTGATCTGGAAATCCTAGCCCTGATGTTGATTTATTAATTGAAGCATTATCCAGGTCTGGATGAGGGGGCGAAGAGGGTATTTGTATGGACGGAGCTTCAGCCTCCAGACACTGAGGCTGATCTTTCTGCAAAGTCAGCAGTCTCTAGGTTACTGAAGAGGCACCCCTGGAAAATGTGTGTCTCTGCTCACTCTGATCTCCATGAGTACCTCCATGTGTGGTCCTAAAGCCTGGTAGTACGAGTGCCCTTTTCCTCCTGTTTTTGGTGGGTTGGTTTTGGGTTGTTTTTGTGGTTTTTGTTTTGTTTTGTGGTTTTTTTTCATAGGAAGCTTTGGGCAATTCTCAGAAGAATCTGGACAATGATGTGAAATTCCTGAAGTCTCTCATGCTTCTGTCTATTCTGCTTTCAAAGTGCTTTCTTTCAAAGATGACTTATGGGGAGGGAGCCGTCCTTGTTGCTGGATGAAAATCCCCCAAAAAAGCTGGAAACAAACTAGATGGTGATGCAAGCAGGCAAACAAATTGAGCAAAAGAGAACTTAATTTTTAGCTTGTTTCAGTGGTTCTAAATGCTTATAGTGATACAGATGCTAAGTTTCACAATATTTTGTGCTTGGTCATATGTAACTTTCGGTCCAGTCAGTGTTAGAAATTGAGGCAGAGAAAAGTGATGATACACCAACTGTCTGAAGATAAGTGATAGGAGAAATAAGAGAAAAAGTCAGCTTTTCTACCTTGATTTGGTTTTGTTGCCTAATGGGGTTAGATATCAGAATTGAAATCGAGTATCATGGTAAGAAATGCAGGGGTTTCCCATTGCAGTGCAGGAATGGCTGCCCAGCAGGGAATCTCCAGGCTCTGCATGGAGGTGAGTTAGGTGTACCCCATTGTTCCAGTGGCAGATACACTCCTGCGATGGGTACAGTTCAGCCTACACTTCAGTAGCTTCAGCTGTACTCTGCTGAGACCCAGGGGCGTGCACATTTTCAGAATGTCTTATCTTTTCCAGTATTTCTTAATGATTTCCCTTCCTTGCTCTTTCGTGCCCTCCTCAATGGTGTTTGGGGTTGCCTCCTCCACCCCAAATCATCATGGTCTTTCCTGTAGCAATATAGTACTTGCAGTGGTGACCTCTGTCGAGCAGAAATGGATTTGCTGGCATTTTGTCAAGCCATGGTGGAGGCCTTCGGTTTGCTTTGTTTTAAACTGGGTAGACCTTTGAGGCTGGCTCAGACTGTAGAACTGGGCAGTTGACCTTGTGTGTTTGACAGGATTACACAGTAACGGTCTGTTCCTGCAGCGGGGAACAGACTGGTTTATCTCATATTAGGCACTTGAAGGAGAGAAAAGAACTTTAATCATAACAGACCTTCAGACTTTTTTCCTGCCATTGACTTTTCAGTCATGTACGATCTTTTGTGCTGCTGGTAAGTGTAGAAAGCAATTAATTTTACCATTCAGCTCTTTTCTGTAGACTGCCATGTTAATTTGGGTATCTTTGGGTATTACATTTTCAGTATTCGTAATCACAGGTAGTCAAACCAGTGACTTAATTATGGGTTCAGTAGTACCTAGCCTTGTAAGTACTGGGTAGCAATCCCTCAGTAACAATTGAATGTTGTGATAGACATTCCTAATGAAGCAGAAGCTACTTTGCAGTGTTGGCTTAGCATAGCAACAAAGGTGGTACTCACTTCACCAAGCACCTTGTTCCTGTGGTAATTTCTCCAGCTTCCTTCCTTGTAGAGTCAAGTCAGCCAGGGGGAATTGCTAGTGCTCTCCCTGGGTGCTTTCTGGGACTGTGGTAAAGAAGTGAGTCTGTTTGTTTGGTTCCCTCATGAGTGCTGCTGTTGTTAGTCCAAGGTGAGTAAATTACCAAAGAATAGTTAATAGGTGTTTGTTCCTAGCCTCGGTTGGTTGTTTTCCACATAGATCCATTTTTAAGATTCGTTGCAAGAGTGCCCAGACTAACTGGACTTAGTCTGACCGCAAAGGTTACATTAATATTGTGCATGACGTGTGACTCCCTTAATGAGGGGAACTCCTGAAGTTCATTATGGGGATATATTTGCTGCCTCCATTTCAGGTCTTTGGCAGCTTTTTGTATCTTAAGTATTAGGATATTTATGTATCAGTTATTCATCTCCAGAATTTCATCCTCGTCCTTCACCTGAGCACTTGCTTTGTATATAGCTTGCCGCTACGGGGTTAACAGATTAAAGTTATGACCCAGCTATGTCAAGTGGTGGTTTTGTGTCGTAATTTCTGCCTCTCAGTTGGGAGGCTGACCTCATGAAGTACTGTCCCTCACCTGGTGCAGATGTGAAATAAAGCAGAGTTGCCTAGACCTGTCATGGAGGTCACCTGTTTTGTTCGTTTGCAAGAAACTGAGAACAGATGGGCTGTCAGTTGCTGCATCTCAGCAAACCAGTAACTTCTTTCAGCAGCCAGGTAGGAGCTCTGAGATCTGTTTGTGGTGGTCCAATACCCTTATTTTCCATAAATCCACTTTCACAAGGTATCTGAGAGGTTCTTAGTTAGCTTCTGTTGCAATTGCTGCTATGATTAAGTTGCTGAACTGGGGTACAGCTTGTTCCTAGGAACACTTGCAGAGCTGTGTGATGCAGGCAGAGCTTATCCTCCATCCGGCCAGCCCATGCTAAGACTGGCTCTTGTGCTGGACTCCTGTGTTAGCCAGGCACACCTTGAGCTCAAGGCCAAGTGAAAATTCCCGTGTGCACCACTGGCCACCCCACAGCCAGACCCTATGGTTGTGACCTCAACGTGCATTTCTGAGTGTTGCACTGTCTTCAGTAACTTAAAGTCTCTGAAGCGCAGACACCAGAAATTTGTCTGTGTTGCAGATGAGAGAGGGAAAAGGAGGATGCAGCCATGCCTTGTCTGAAGGGATGCGAGTATGATCTCCCTGGCCTTTCCCAGTACCTCTGGGTGCTTTGAGGAGTGGTGAGGGTGGGCAAGGCGGCAGGAGAGGAAAGGTGAAAGCCCAACAATGTTTGGTACTGCTCTCAGGATTCCTGGTGAATTTAAAAACATAGAGGGGATACTTATTCATTGCTCAGGAGATACTTGTGGAAGGGCTTAATTGGAAACATTTTCAGTCAGATCAAGTAGATATCCTTGTTATTCTTGTTTCTCCATGCTAATTTTCAAGGATTTAAATTAGGAAGTATCTTTTTGCTTTTGATGGTGGGTTTCTTTATCAAAACCATGTGGTCCTTGGCTAATTAAAAGAATGATCTTGACAGAAAGGAATCTTCCCAATTAAGTGCTGTTTTCTAACAGCCTTTCCCTTTAGTATCCTGCTGGGAGCAGTATGGTCTAAGAAAGTGCACACAGATCTAAAACAGGTTGCCAGGGTTGGCAGTGTTGAGAAGATGTGGGCTGCCTGACTATTTCTGTATCCAGAAAAACCACCAAGTAAAATACTGATTGTATTCTATCCCTGTTCCTTGCAGGGG